TCTCTCTCTCTCTTTTTCTGGCGAGCGCACGCGCCCTATAGCAAAAACCTCTAAAAAAAAAAAAAAGAAGAAGAAGATTCAGCAGGGTAAGGGGATGGAAAGTTGGTGGGTGGCCATTTTAGAGAGTAGTAGGGGAAGGCGTCACTGAGGAGGTGATGACTGAACTGAGACCAGAACAAAAACGAGGCCAGTGCAGTTATCTGAGGGAGGAGCCACCAGGCCGAGGGAAGAGAAAGCTCTAAGGCTTTACGATGAGCACAAAAGTGCAGCAGGTGCTGAAAAAGTGTCTGTCGAGGGGCCCAGCAATAAAATGAGACACGCTGCAAGGCAATCCCACATGGGAAGATGCCCAGTGCAAGCCTGGAGGCTTCCCTGCACGCACTGGGCACACGTCTGCCCATGTTCCAGAGCCGACTGGGGGTGGGGGTGGATTGCAGAATCAGGACTCTGTTGGGGGTAGTCTCTCTCTTTCTCAGTAAATAAACTTTAAAAAAAAAAAAAAGAAAGAAAGAAAATGTTGGGTCAGGGGCCACCAGGTGGTGTGGTAGATAAGGCGCTGGGCTCCCACTGGCCGACCATGGTTTGAGTCACAGGCCTGCTGGCTTGCTTTTCCTTTCTCTCTCTCTCTCTTGGTCAAATCAAAAGATAACAATAACAAATGGAATTAAATAAATAAATAATTCTTTAAAAAAGTTTCTCTTGAAATAAAATATTTTTAAATACCTACTAATACCTATTTAATGACTGCAGTAAGCTATATATCCCCAGAGAGGTGCATCTTTACAGTATGTTCAGTTTACTTTCTGAGGTTGTTTTTTTTTGGAGTGGTTTTTGCTGTAGGGTGCATGCACTCGTCAGAAAGACAGAGTCACAGAAAGCCATCTGCTGGCCCAAATAAATATGTTGGTCCCAATGAATAATGCCTTTTTTTTTTAAAGAATTGTTTTATTTAATTTTATTTATCCATTTATTTATTTATTTTAATTTGAACCGTGAGGGACAGAGTGAGAGAGAGAGAAAGAAAGCAAGCTGCCAGGTCCAGGACTCAAACCATGGTCAGCCATGTGGGAATCCAATGCCCTTAACCACCATACCACCTGCTGGCCCCAGCAATAAATAATTCTTAAAACAAAACGCAAATAGCCCTGAGCCCCTGGCTCCTTGTCTTGTATTCCTGAACAAGGCTGGGCACGGACCAGCCCGCACCATCGCCTACTCTAACCTTCCCTGGCTCCTCTCTCCCCAGGTCCCAGACTCAAGCCGTGGCTCCTGAGGCGAGCCCAGAGAGAAGCTGCTCTCTCCACAGTTGCCCCCTCGAGGACCCTTCCAGCTCTTCAGGACCTCCACAGACAACTTCCACTCTCCAACCTGTGGGACCATCCAGTCCCTTGGCCCCTGTCCACTTTACCTATCCCCGGCCACCGCAGGAATACCAGGGGGGCAGTTCCCTGCCAGGACTCGGGGACCGGGCAGCCCTATGCTCTCATGGTCCCAACTTCAGCCCTTCCCCAGCCCCATCACAATGCGATGGGGCCTGGAAGCCACCTTCTGTGCAGCATCATGTGGTCAGCGTCAGGTAAGGAGTGATCCAGCAGCCTCCAGCTGCCACTGGAAGATGGGGCAAGGCAGTGCCCTGGGGCCCCAGGGCTCCTGTCTTAGGAGGCAGCTGGGGTGGAGCAGGAAGTAAGGGCCAGAATTTGGGAAAGGAAATCTCTGAATGGAATTCTCTATCCTTCACTCACCCACCCCTGCCCCACCTTTCCCCCACCTCACTTCCAGCCCCATAAGAGGACTCTTGCCAACAAGTGTCTTTTCTCCTCTTTTACAGGCAGGAACGGGCCTTCCAGATGCCAAAGAGGTAGGCTTGGGCCTTCCCTGGACCCCAAGGGGTGACCAGGCTGGTGCCCAGTGTCACCCTGCCGCATGTGGTCTCTGCTCTACCTCCCTTCCTGGATAGACCCTAAGCTTTCCAGCCCCCCATTACCAGAACACCACCAGCTCATGTGGACTCCCTCCTTCTTTCCTAGTTATTCCCAGCTGATTGCCGAATGGCCAGTGGCCGTGCTGCTGCTGTGTCTGGCTGTCATTCTCCTCTGTACCCTGGCTGGACTGCTGGCAGGCCAGCCTCCCGACTTCTCCCAACCGT